TACCCATTATATGTGACATACCTAGCAATAATATACCGCAAAAGAATAAACAGTTGCCATATTTAAAATATATAAAGATTGACATAACCAACAAACTAGCAAAACTATTGACATGCCTAGAAATTACTAAACAACACACAGAATAAAAAAAATGATATACACATCAGTTCTTTATACATAGTGGAGAGTATGTGATACGTACGATACATATATCATACAAAAACATAGCTATCTAGTAATTAGGATATAACGTCCATTTTTTGTAGGGATAGAATATAATGTCCATATGGAAACTTGCACTCAATGTAAAGAAGGTATCATATACCCACAGATGTTTGAGACTTTTAAGAAAATTATAAGGTATCATGTACCCACAGTATGAGACCATACGTATGTGGGTAATGTTTTTTTCATCGAGCCCAACCTATTCATGTATCTCCATCAGTTTTTTATACATAGTGGAGAGTATGTGATACCTACGATAAATATATCATACAAAAAATGCCTATACAATAACTAACATACAATGTCCATTTTTGTGTCGGGATAGAATATAACGTCCATATGAAAACTTGACCCAATGCAGAATATAAATCAAGAGGCATTTATTGCTGATTTCTCTCTCTCTCTCTCCATATGGACGTTATACAATGTTCGCACCCAGGACATTATACGTGCATATATGATACCTTCGAACTTAATATGCACCATATGGAAACTTGACCCAATGTAGAATATAACGTTCGAAGGTATCATATATGCACGTATAATGTCCTGGATGCGAACCTACATATGAAGTGGAACGAACGTTCCATACTCACAAATATTTCTTGGGTATATCGATTTTGGCTATGTAATTTTGGAGTATGTCACACTTTAATTATAATCTTGGCGCATATAATTTTGGGGAGAAATATTTCTTAGTATATCATTTCTCTTTATCGTACCTTGGGTATATCATTTTTGGGATGTATATTTCTTTGGTATATAATTTCCATCTACCGTACCTTGGGTATATCAAGCATGTCGTCTCTATTAAGGTATATATTTTATTTTGGAAAGATTCAAAGGACGATCATAGTGGGAGTAACTTAGCTGTAACATAGCGCATTTCAAGATAAATTTGCTTATGTGGTGTGTATTTAATAAAGAGAGATGTGCTTAGAGTAACTTAGCTAGTAACATAGTGTGACATAGCGCTCCCCAAGCGGAGATGAGTCTACAAACTAAATAATGAAACCATCTATGACACTACTACTATGTTACTTTGTAGTATGAAGGTAGTAATTTAGACTAGTGTCATATGCATGACACTAGTATAAGTTTCTCTCCACTATGACCAACCTTACTATAAAAAGTTTTCTGCATGCTAATTATTACTACTAGCCACTAGAGCCTTACTATAGAGCATTTCCTATTTGCTAATTACTACAGTCACTAGAGCATAGTAATTGCTTTACTATAGAGGGTTTATGGTGTTACACCTTCCTTCTTGCCAATTTATACTTACGCCAGGGCCTCAGTAATAGCATTACTATTTGGTATAAATCAATTATTTTAGCAACTAAAATAAAACCAAGATGTAAATGAAAGAAATGTAAAATTAGAAAGACCCAATCACAGCATAACTAGCTACGACCTAAGTACCCATAAAAATATTTTTGGATTAATACTAACCTTTTTTGGTATAATTACTTTCACACAAAATAAGTCTCATAATATAAATCATTTCATTATCATGTACCCTACACTAATTACGTGACTTCGTTCCAATGTTGCATCCATTGCAAACTTCTAGGATCCATTATCGTGTTCCCATAACTCATTACGGTGCAATTTGTAGGTGCGAAGTCGAGATCCATTACTATATTCCGTTACAGAGTTCCCATTCGGTGAAAGTGGTGGGCATGTTTCATCTAATTAACGGATGACTAGTTGAGTCGATTGGGGCAAGCAACCAGAGCGCATGCTAATTATAATGCGCTCAGGCTTATATATATATATATATATATATATATATATATATATAGGGTTACTATATATTCCGTTACCCTACTTGAACGGACACGGTTTGCAGGTTGGACTGACGCGGTTTTCTACTTGAACTTATCTTCCAGCGTGTACGACGGCGGAAACAGGGGATGCAACATGGAGCTTCTGGGCGTTCTCTGGCGCGGTGCTGCGGGCCATTTATTGTCAGAGGAGACATGTAAGGGGTTCCGTACGTGCGCACACTCACTTGGTTGTGTTTTGCGATCTGGAGTCACCGGAAGTGACGGCGTGGGCATTTGGCGGCGGACGTGTTTTGGGCATTGGTGTTTATCTCATGTTCGTATGCCTCAATTTTATGTCCGGTTTGTTGTTTTGGATGTGAGAATGATCTGTGGGTGAGAGTTTTTTGA